TGCCAAATACCAGTAACAATGAAGGGTCTCATTCTCCTAACTCTGAAAGAGCCTTGAATATGGCACTTTTTTTAAAAATCTCAGGGCTAGGACGAAGGAGACGTTACTGGGGCCTGCTCGAGGCAATAGACGAATAACAGGATGGTCGTGATCGTGAAAATTTATTTTAAATTCTAAATCTAAGACTTCCAGGGTGGTAGGGTAAACGCAGCAATACTCAGCAAAACATAAAATTAAAGCTAGCATGTAAAGAGCTAAATGTGGAAGTTGAGTACTTGCATAAACTCTGGAGATTGTCTCATCTCTTTTTCCTAACAGCCTTGTGAGGCAATATTACCAGTCCTATTTTACTGTGGTTTTTAAAAAGTGAGTTACTGTTCAACACCCCATAGGATAAAATCCTGAGTTCTAACTAAAACCCAGATCAGTTGGCTCCAAATTGATCCTTTCACTCTACCTTGTGTCCCAACAAGAAATACCTACATTAGAATTTTCTGTCTTATGTCTTTTAATTAAAACCCTCAAAAGGAGGTATACCAAGCTTATAGTTAATGATGAAACATAAAATTAATAGTTTGATAAAAATTAGCCTTAGATGATAAATTTGTGTGAATATTTAATAAAGCCATGTATAACATTTAATTTTTTTAAGTTGAATATGTAGTATCCCTCAAATGGAAACATGAAAATTTTTGTACAAAGGCCCTAAGTAAATTTTATCTTGTTTTGTATTCTAAAGAAGAACTTGAGTGGTCTCTAATTTTGTCAGTGATATATAGGTTCAAATGGGTAAGGTTATATTCATACTTATGAAAATAAGAAAGGGTAGATAATGCTTGTTTTTGACTCTTTCTACTGAAAATAATTTTTCCTTTTCATTTTTCCTCCAGATCTGGGAGGCCTCCTCTAATTGGTGAAGAAACTCCTGCAAGTTTAGATGCAAGTGCAGATACTGTGATGAAGATTGCAAAATTGCAAAGCCTGGTAAAGTGTTACAGAAGAAGCAAAAGTTTCCGTTATTCTCAGAAATGCATTAACTATGTTGGCAACTTTTTTTCTCTATAGTTTCCTAAATTTTTAAGGCATTTAACTTGTGTATTAATAATAATAATAGGAAAGGAAGGTAAACAGAAAAGAGAGAAGCCGGGAATAGGAAAAGAGCCTAAAGTTTTGATTATAAAGAACCAGGAGGTTCTTTATAATCAGTCAAGTCTTTATAACCAGCAGGTCTTGCATGTGGCCAACTGGGGCTCAATCCCTGGAATTGCATATGGCCCTCAAGCCCCCACAGGGGTGATTCCTGAGTGCAGAGCCCAAAGTAAGTCCTAAGAATCACTAGATGTGACAGATTAAAAAGGAGGGGCAAAGAAAGAGAGGGAGAGAAGGGAAGGGGAGGGGAGGAGAGTGAGGCAAGGCAAACATTGCCAAGGACATGGCACAAGTCATAGAACTCAGGTCTTAAAACGTGGAAGGCGCTGGGCACGACTTGGTCCCTCCATCCCATCACACACATACACATGTTCCCTACACCTGGTGCTCCCTGGGCCTTAAGTACTGTTGGAAGTGATCCCCGAAGAAAAGAATACACATCTTACCCTTTCTAGACTTCCAAAATCTGCTTGTTCCCTTTAATCTCTCAATGATGTGGTAAGTTAATCAGACGAAAGCATGGACAAGTCAACTGAGATGTCAAAAAATCATGAAGCATCCAAGAAACTATAAATTCAGATATACAGCTCTTACATTCACCATATACTAAATTAGTTTTAGGGACAGGAGAAAATGAGAGAGAGAAGTGGCCTAGAAGTAGAGAACATCATTCATGCCTTGCATGTATAAAGTCCTGCTTTCAATACCCAGAACAATATATAGTTATACTAGTGAGGTAAGTATGAAAAACAGATTTATATTAAAACACAAATGTAATCCAAACAAACTGTTAGAGTAAGTGTGGTGATACTATACTGGAGCTGAAACTCAGGGTCTCAGCCCTGTGAAACATGTACTAATCTACCTCTTCAACACTTGTTTTTTCTTTTATTATAAGCTAAAGCTCTGTATTAAAATGTTTCTTGAGCAACATGATACATTTTCCAGAGCCAGAGAGAGAGTGCAGAGTTAAGACACCTGCCTTCCACACAGCAAATTCTGGCTCAATCCTTGTGTCCAGAGAGACCCCCAAGTACACAGCAGAGCAGAGCAGCACCAGGTCTGCTCCAACTACTCCCCCATAAAATTATTTTATTTTACGTTAACAAGCGTACTCAAAAGGGTTCACATTTGAAAGCTTCCAGTTTTCATTAAAAAACTTCCATTCCCCATTATAAAAACAGCTTACAATATTGAACAACTAAGTACATTACTAAAACTTTACATAATTTCTAGCCCTTGGGAATGCTCTTCAAAAGATACTAATTTTAAATATCAAGTATAAGACCAGAGAAATACTGCAACAGGTAAGGTGCTTGCTGTGCACACACATAGCTGACCCCATATTTGATCCCCAGAATGCTCCCCCTATTCCTGCCTAGAGTGATCCCTAAGCATAGAGCCAGGAGTAAGTTCTGAGTACTGACAGAACATCAACAACAAAAAAGTATAAAACCATATTTAAAAAGAAGTCCAATTATCAGATAAAACTTTTATTAATATCATAAATTCATTAGATTTTAGATCTTCTTTTCTCCTGAATACCAAAATGCAACCTATTCATCTGGGCATTGATACGAGAAAATAATGATTTCCAAATCACTAAATGCTTTATAGTATTTTCTCAGAAATACTGTTTTTCATAAATGCTATTTCCAACTTCCATCAACAGATTACAAAGTTCTTATAATATTTTGCTAGAATTACATAGTCTTGTTTTCAAAGTGTTATATTTAGTACCCCCTTCCTTTTAGGGAGAGGGGTTACACCCAGCAATGCTCAATGGTTACTCCTAACTCTGCTCTCAGGAATTTCTCCTGGTGGTGCTCAGGATACCATATGGACTGTCCCCATGGAACTCCAATCGCCTCAAGCAAGGCAAAAGCCCTACCCACTGTACAATCACTCTGGCCCTCCTTCTTCCTTAATATTTACTACGCAACAAATATTTGAAAACATTGTCGCTGTGCATGTGGAAGGTGTTCACCATACAACTTTTTTATGTTTAAAAACACTGCACAGTGAAATACTGGAAGGAAAAAATGACCATCTTAAATTTTCACAGACCAGCTCACTAGATAACAGTTCAAGATGAAGTGAAAGTGATATGCTTACCAAGAGCCTCAATTACTCCCAGGTTACTGACATGAACCTTTGAAGTAGTACTTATGGTTAATTAGTCCCTAAATAATTTTACAAGATATATATTTAATCCTGCTTTAAGTGCAGAAAAGAAACATTTTTACCAAGATTTTAAAATAGGCTTCCACTTATGCCTATGTTTTACACTCCATCATATATACCATCAATATACACTATGTAGCATCTATAATATTTCCATTATCTATGAAAGCATAGTTCTCTTGGCTTGAGAAATAGCGGGAGAAAAAACATTACAGTACACTCAGAGGAATGTGTAGCTCTTCAAGTATGTCTTTCTGAGAACACATCAGTATACTATGGTTACAATAATGCACTAGTGAAATTGTATTCTGCGATTTTTTGAAATCTTCTTTCCATTCTATAGATTGAAACGTACTTTCTAGCCATTGGTAACTAGGATTATCTTGGTCTATTCTTGCCGTTTCCACCACTCTTGTACATACGGATAACTCCATTTGAGAATATGATTTCAAAATAGCTGGATAGGAAAATGATGGCACTGGGGCACGAAAGCAACCACAGGGTTGTTAAGGCACTCGCCTTGCCAGCGGTTGTTACTAGTTCCATAGCCCTGTCTGCACAGACTATGGTCCCAAGAGCACTGCTGGCAGTCAAGAGCAGCCACTGAGCATTACTGGATGTGGTCTCCAACACCAGAAACACCGCGAAGGAAGAAACAAGGCTACCTTTTTTGGTCTGGATTTGTTCTGTTGTGTTGGGGGTGGGGAGGTTCCTGGGTCTTGGTTGGTTTGTTGGTGTTTGGGTCACCCCAGGCTGTGCTCAGAGCTTTCTCCTGGCTGCGTGGGGATCATGTAGCGGAGGCAGGAACCTGGCACCACCGAGCCCCAGGCAGAGGCTCCGCCGTGCTGCCCGGCCCTTGGATGGGACCTTCCACCAGTCACCTACTGCTGCTTGTGGTGGTCTCCGGGCACTCTGGGACTCGGTGCTCTGACACCACAGCAGGGCAAAAGCAACACCTACCCTCAAGCTACCACAAACGGAAAGGTCACCAGGCCAGCCCCCCAACCCCCACGCGGCTCGGCGGAGGGTCGCACATGCCTCCACACCCTAACCCAGGGCCCCGCGACCACGGTCCCGGCGGGTGTGCGGGAGTGGGCGGGGGGGAGGGGGGAAGCGGAGGGCGGGTGCCCGGGCGGGTGGCTGGGAGATGCCTGGGCTGGGGACGACGCGTGCCCAGGCGGGGGGCGGGAGGTGCCCGGGCGGGCAGGGGTCGATGGGTGCCCGGGCGAGGGGCGGCGGGAGGTGCCCGGGCGGGGGACGGCGGGTGCCCAGGCGGAGGACGGGAGGTGCCCGGGAGGGCGGGGGACGACCGGTGCCCTGGCGGGATGGGCGGGGGGCGACGGGTGCCCGGGCGGGATGGGCGCTGGGTGGGTGCCCAGGCGGGGCACGGTGGGAGGGGCCCGGGCGCCCGCGGCGGGGGCGGCGGGAGGTCCCCGGCGCCGACCTCCGCCCGCGACCCCGCCGCCGCCTCAGCCGCCCCTCAGCCGCTCGGGCGCGGCGGAGGGGTGGGCCCGGCGGGAGGAAGAGCGTCGGCGCGGCGGGAGCGCCCGGCGCCCCCCTGCGGGAGGCGCGTGTTGCCCCCGTCCGGGCGGCTCTTCCCGCCGCCTCCCCGCCCCGGCGTTGCCCCGGGCAACAGCGCCCGCGCGCGCGGCGTGAAACGCACCTACCTAGAACCTGACAAGCTGGAGCCCCTCCGACACTGCAGCCAGGCGCCACCCCGCGTCACGGGGCCGCCGCGGCCAATCGGAGCCGCTGTCACGAGGCGCGGCGGCCTATCCGGCCGCGCTCCGGTCTCCGGGCACCGCCGGGCTGCGGCCAATGAGCGCGCGCGGAGGGCGGGTGCTGCGCCGGGCCGGGCCGCGGGTCGACCCACCTCCCCCGAGGCGGGGCGCGGCCCTGGGCCGGACCGCGGGATGCCGCGCGGGCTGGCGGGCGGGTGGGGCGGGGCGGCGCCGGGGCGCGGGGGGCGCGGGCTCGCCGCCGGCTGTTCTCCCGGAGCCTCCGAGCGCCCGGGCTGCCGGGCGGGGAATGCGGCGTCACAGGAAACTTGGAGAGTCCTCGGGGCCGCAGCCGGGAAGTGTCCCGCCCGGGGCCGATAAGCCGGGCCGCCGGAAAGGGCTTCGGAGGGTGGGGCGAGGTGGGGGCAGCGCGCGCGGCCTGACCCGCCGGCCCGGCCCGTGCTCGCCCGGAGCCGCCCCTCCGACTCCCGGCGGGAAAGGGCTCCTCAGCCGCCCGCAGCCCCTCAGCCGCCTGCAGCCCACGCCAGGCTCGCCCGGGAACCGAGGCAGGGATGGCAAAGCCTGAGCCCTCTTCCCTTCCCCAGGAAATCTGTAGAGAAGTAGTCCTGTGAGCTTCCCAGAGGTGCTGGTATCAGCACTCACAGCTCCGGGGGTGGTTGTGGAAGATCTTTTAGGACTTTTTACCTGGTCTTTGAACCACATTCTTTGCCTATCTTTGCAAATCTAACATCCAATCCAACTCCGCCCTTCCCTCCCAAACACTTTTGAATTATGTGGCGCCAGAGAGAGTCAGCTTTTTAAATTTTTTCTAACAGGGTCATTCATTTGACCACAGTGAAAACAGTCTGAACATGAAAAATGCATCAAGTTATAAGTTGAATTTATCTACTGTTTCAAAGTTAAGCCAAAACGTCCTGTAAAAACAAATAATAGGCTTAATTATTGCAGTCGGAGATAGGGAAGAAATTTCTTTAGTATACATTTGCCTTAGAAAACATGCAGGTCTTGGGGCTTGGAAAACGGGTAAGGCTTAAAAACTAACCATGCGAGTCTCACCGTGCATGCAGCGACACCAACCACGTAAGGTCTCCTGAGCGTCCTACAGTAGTGATCCCTGAGTCCAGAGCAAGGAGTAGCCCCTGAGCCTGCCTGGCAGTGGCCAAGACCAACCAAGAAAATGTGCCAGCCTTATCAACTAAGGTTTAGTAAACTATCCCAAAATGCTTTTCTCCAGGTCCTGGGGACTCAACTCGAAAAGCAAATAATGAAGCAACATCCCTGTCATGGGTCTGTAAAGAAAAGGATACTAACAGTGAAAGCTGACTTGCCCCCTTGCAAATCTTACCCATCATAAAGATAGAAGGGGGTTGTTTTCTCTGGGTAAAAACTAGTACAAAAGGCCGCCCCAATTACCAAATAAAATGAAAATGAATGAAAGCATGCAATATATGTTATCAAGTCCTCTTCTTTAAGGACTAGTTAATTGTCTTGAAAATGTGTAAAGAAAGAGTTGTTATCTTCTTGGCTGTATGAAAGAGTGTGATTTTTGTTTGGAAACCACACTCCCCCCAGTGCTGAGGACTTATTCCTGGCTCTGTTCTGGATTCAGTCTTGTTCAACAGGAAGGAGGGTGGAGGTGTAGGCGCTGAACCATGTGATGCTCAGGATGGAATCTAGTAGGGCTGGTGCGAGGCCAGAGCCCTTTTGTACTATCTCTTCCACTCCAGTGTGATTTGTCTTTGAATTCTCTTTGCTAATGCCTGTAATATTCATCTATCTCATACTCACTGCCTTCTGATTTTGTGTTTCGGTATAGTTAGAATGTTTATTATGTCACTGCCTTTGTGGAGATCATTTCTGACTTAAAAGAATTTTTTTAATTTTAATTATATTTTCCAAACTGTGCCTATACCCCAAACTGTGACATTATGAAGTTAAAGAATTATGTTTTAATTAGTTCTAAAAAATAATATGACATTAAATGATACCTTATCACTGTACTACAAATAAATTTTAATAGGTTCATAAATAATAATGTTCAATATGTATTTTGCAGTAACTATTAACTTTACAAAATAAGACTTAAATGAATAAATCTCTCTTAAAGTCTTATTTTATTTTTGTTTGTGTCAGGCATAAAGTGTTCCACCACCAATGTCTCCTTCCCTCCACCAAAGTCTTCAGGTTCCCTCCCACCCTCATCCTGCCCCTTTGGCAGTCATATAACAAATTTATTTCATGTTACTTGTTACAATAAAACTTAAAAGAATGGCAAAAATAATTATCAGAAAATAAATTAATAAAAGTCCATTTTGGGTGATTGGTTGCTATATATTTTTAATTTTTCTTAATGTAATAGGGGACAACCATATGCACCATTAGTGAGTGTCATACTCCATGCCACATGTTGGGAACTTCATCCTGTCCTTTAAAGAAGTTCTTTACTTACTTCTTGTAAAACTGGTTTCAAGGCTATGAATTTTCAAGCTATTGCCTGATCATAAAACTCTGACTCCTTCCTTCAAATCTAAATGATAATCTACGTGCAGAGTATTCTTGTCATTTTTTTGAATTTTTGTAGTACATTCTTTCATGACTTCTACTCAGATCTCTTTAATAGCCATGTCCACTTGCCCACATACCACATTCCGCATGATGGATATATCGTTCCCAATGTCCTCCCTTCCGAAATCCAACATGTCATCTCGTCAGTAAAGAAACAAAGAGCACCTGTCCCAGACAGATCAGACCTGAACACCTGAAGAACTTACCATCAGTACTCATCAATACACTGGCTCGGCTCTTCACACGCTACCTATCTGAATGCAAGGTTCCATCCCAGTGGAAAACCAGCAGGACTGTACTACTGTACAAGAAGGGAGACATCCATGACATTGGCAACTATCGCCCAATCTGCCTATTGTCTGTCATCTACAAACTGTTCACTTGAGTCATCCTGAATAGGATTAGCAGAACACTAGATGAAGAACAACCATGTGAACAAGCTGGATTCCGAAAAGGATTCAATACCATCGACCATATCCACACGATTACTAAGCTCATACAGGTTTCTCAGGAGTTCAAGATGCCGCTCTGTCTAACATTCATTGATTTAAAGAAGGCCTTTGATTCTGTTGAGACGGAAGGGGTCATAGAAGCCCTACCCAATCAGGGCGTACAAACTCAATACATCAGGATCCTTTGTGAGCTCTATTATGGATTCACTACCAGGATCTCACCATTCTACAAAGAAGTAATCATCCATATCAAGAGAGGGGTTCGGCAGGGTGATACCAGTTCACCAAAACTCTTCAGTGCCACCCTCGAGAACATCATGCGATGACTGGAATGGGAAAGAATGGGAGTGAAGATAGATGGTTGGCAACTACACCACCTCCGCTTTGCTGATGACATCGTTCTAATAACACCAAATATCAGCCAAGCGGCACAAATGCTGACCGACTTCGACCGTGAGTGTGGAAAGGTCGGACTACAGCTGAATCTTACGAAGACAATGTTTATGAGAAACAGCCTCGTTCCGGACGCTCCATTAGCTCTCAATGGAACCACCATCTCTGAATGCAACAGTTATATATACCTAGGTCGAGAAATCAACATGATGAATGACCTGGCACCTGAGTTGCACAGGAGGAAGAGAGTGGCTTGGAATGCCTTCAAGAGCGTTGAAGAAATAACTAAGAGGACAAAGAACCTACAGCTACGAGCACATCTCTTCGATTCCACTGTTCTTCCTGCATTAACATATGCCTCAGAGACTTGGGCCCTATGAAAACAGGATGAGAACGCTATTCAGGTCTCTCAAAGAGGAATCGAAGGAGATTTGCTTGGAATATCACAATTCACTCAAATGAGAGATAGAATCCGGAGTTCTGATCTCCATCAACGCTCAAGAATCAGAGATGCTGTCTCATTTTCCAAGGCCTCAAAAATCAGATGGGCTGGACATGTAATGAGGTTTACAGACAACCGCTGGACTAGAGCCATTACTGACTGGATTCCACGAGACGTCAAAAGATCGCGTGGACGCCCACCTACAAGATGGTCAGACTTCTTCGTCAAGACCCTGAATGATCAGTTTGAGGCTCTGCATGTTCCTAAAATGAACAGATGCCATTGGGCTACGCTAGCACACAACAGGGATGAATGCAGACATTACTGGCACCCGCTCGAGTAATTCGATGAATAACGGGAGATCAAGTGATCAAGTAATTCTTTCATACTCAGGCTCATAAAAAATAAAATCTTTTTTTTTAAAAAAGCAACAGGATCAAATGGACTGTGTTCAGAAGCACACAGAAAGTGCCTATAAACTAATTGTAGTTTCTGTCTCTCCACAAAGTATATATTTCTTTGAACCAATCAAGTGATTCTTGGTCAGCACTCAAGTCATAATCTATTTAAGATCAGGTGCTTTTTACCAAGGAACATAAAATTGCCTAAAACAGTCTCTCCCACTCTATTGTTTTAATTGTTGAGGTGGTATTTTTTTGGGGGGGGCAGTTTTTGGTTTTGGTTTTGATTTTTGGACCACACCTGTGATACTCAGGACTTACTCCTGGCTCAGCACTCTAGAATCACTCTTACTGGTGCTCAGAGGTCAATATGGAGTGCCAGGGATGAACCAGTGTTGGCCATGTGCAAAGCAACCGACTTACTATATCTCCCAAACTTTTTCTTTTGCTGTTGCTAAAAACCAAAATATCATCTAAATGAATTGATAATCACTCTTTTCTGCTAATAAACTTGTCCCCATCTATTTTTTAGTATATATGTGTGTATATATATATATATACACACACATATATATAAAGCATTTTATTTTCTACACCTTCTGCTAGATGAATACATGAATCTGACTAGATTTCCATTGATTTAGATGGCATTTTGTTTTTTACCAATAGAAATTTTTTATGACGTTTAAACATGGTAGTATATAGCATAACAGTATAAATGAAATCCATGAATGTTTGT